CAGTCGAAAAAACAAAACAAGCAGGAAGACAGTCAAACAAAGGCATTTGTCTGCACAATAAAGCAGAGTAAAGAGACAGCGGGTGCCATGATCCACTCAGGATGTATGCAGGGAGACAAATCACATCGCCTTAATCACATTTAATGGCCCACGATCAGTGAATTAATATTCCTTGTGCGCCAACGTGGTTGAGAGTTCAGCTGGATTTGGATGCATTTGAGACACATCACTGTTGAAAAAAAAAAAAAAAAAAGGATCTTGAATGTGGACTCCATAATCTAAAAATAAAGGTGCATTAAGTTTTAAAATTAAACCACACAAAAGTTTTCAAATAAATGGCAAATAAGCATATTGGTCTTTCTATTTATTCTACAACCAAATGTGGTTATTAATATTGGAGTAACAGTGATCAATATCTAGTTGATCATGTGATCTTAATATAACAAGTATTGGAAAATGGTTTAAAACAAATGTTTTTCAATATTTATTTCTATTCATTCTTTATTAATCTGGGACGCCACAGCGGAATGAACCGCCAAGTTATCCAGCACGTTTTACGCAGCTGATGTCTTTCCAGCTGCAACCCATTGCTGGGAAACATCCATACACACTTTTTTATACTCACACGCTATGGACAATCTAGCCTACCCAATTCACCTATACCACATGTCTTTGGCCTGTTGGGGAAACCGGAGCACCCAGAGGAAACCCAGGTGAACGCGGGGAAAACATGCAAACTCCACACTGAAACGCCAACTGACCCAGCCGAGGCTCGAACCAGCGACCTTCTTGCTGTGAGGCAACAGCACTACCTACTGAACCACCGCACAATTTATATTAGAAACAATCGCCTGCAATACACACTCAACGGCCACTTTATTAGGTACACCTTACTAGCACCGGGTCGGACTCCTTTTTTGCCTTCAGAACTGCCTTAATCCTTCTTAGCATTGATTCAACAAACTGCACTGGAAATATTTCTGAGATTTTACTCCTATAGTGACATGATCACATCACGCAGTTGCTGCAGATTTGTCAGCTGAACATCCATGATGTGAATCTCTCGTTCCACCACATCCTAAAGGTGCTCTATTGGATTGAGATCTGGTGACTGTGGAGGCCATTTGAGTACAGTAAACTTATCATGTTCAAGAAACGAGTCTTGAGATGGTTCACGTTTTACAGCATGGCGCGTTATCCAATGGTCTTTTGCTGCTGTAACCCATTCGCCTCAATGTCCGATGTGTTGCGCCAGTCTGGCCATTCTCTTCTGACCTTTGGCAACAACAAGGCGTTTGCACTCACAGATCTGCCGCTCACTGGATGTTTTCTCTTTTTCGGACCATTCTCTGTAAACCCCAAAAATGGTTGTGCGTGAAAATCCCAGTAGATCAGCAGTTTCTGAAATAGTCAGACCAGCCCATCTGGCACCAACTGCCATGCCACGTTCAATGTCACTTAAATCACCTTTCGTCCCCATTCTGATGCTCAGTTTGAACTGCAGCAGATCATCTTGACCATGGCTGCGTCCGAAACTGTCTACTACTCAGTAGGAATGAATGTGAAAAGTATGAATGGAATTCGGATGTACTACATCCGCCATTTTGTCATGGTCACATGACCTACCATTCTCTCGCGGGGAATCTTGGGATAGTGCAGGGTGCATGGAATGAGTACTTCAGAATCTCACTGGAAGTAGTAAGTCATCCGGGTACTTCTCGCATACTGATTTTCGAATTCTATGAATTCAGACATACTACTTGGCTCATATACTGAGTTTAGCATACTATATAGTATGGAGGTATGCGGTTTCGGATGCAGCCCATGTCTACATGCCTAAATGCATTGAGTTGCTGCTATATGATTGGCTGATTAGAAATTAGCTTTAACGAGCAATTGGATAGGTGTACATAATAAAGTGGCTGGTAAGTGTATATTAGTTATTTAAATGTTTGTTAAACTTCAGTATGTCCCTAAAACACTGCATGAGATGATCAAGTTGTTGTTGTTAGTAGTTATTGTTAGTAGTTGTGTAAATTACTTCCTTATCCTCATTTGTAAGTCGCTTTGGATAAATCACTAAATGTAAATGTAAATGTAGTATTATTAATAATGATATTAGTTTACTTATTATAATTAACATGTTTAAAAACAAATAAGAAATAATGTGTAATCTACTGAACCTGTAGATCTTTAAATATACTGTATTAAAACTGTTCAGTTTTGTTTGCTACGTTTTTGCTTTTAAAAAAACCACAACTGAAAAAAGACCACACAATGCTGTCACATTATCTGCCATAAAATCTCGCTTTCAAGAGAACATTCTCACTGTAGCATGGCTTCTGTCCAAACAAGTAGGCAGGAAATAGCAATTATAACATTCTCTAAAAAGAGACGTCTCACTTTCAGAAGATTATAAACCTCAGAAGAAAACCAATGTTGTAATAGCAGGCCTTCAACATACAGTACATCTGTAGATGCTTAAAACATACTGCAAGTAAAAAGAATAAAAAGCTGACAGAACACATTATGATCACGACTCAATATGTATTTCAGAATGCAAACCCACACAACCCCCAGCTGACCACAGCGTAATGCAGGAACACTGTAAAGACAACCTTTCTGCATTCATCCACCCAAATTCGTTCTCATCACTTTTCCCTTCATACTTTCAGTGACGTACGCTCTGAAGGCTGATTATGAAGCGATCCTCATATCACATAATGAAGAGCATCAATGAAAGCAGAACAAAGCCCTGGTAATTAATCACCGTGTAACCGACAAAGGTTTAATGTCAACTCAGTAAATGGAAACATTTTTCCAACCAATCACAGAGTAAACTTTAGGGTGACACCATTAAGAATCTTGACAGTGACTAAGTTTCAATAACTGAAAAACCTTTATAATATTCACACTGCAATTTTAGATTATGTGCCTATAAACCACAAAAAACAAAATATATATATTTTAAAGAGACAGTACAACCAAAAATGAAAACTCACTGACCACTTTCTTACACTCAAGTGGTTCCATCTAAGCCTTTATGGATTTCTGTCTTCTGCTGAACACATAGGAAGATATTTTTTCTGAATTTTGGAAACTGATAGTCATTGACATCTATAGTAGATCTAAAGAAAATATGCCAAATAATTCAATGACTACCAGTATCCAACATTCTTAAAATGTATTTTGTGTTCAACAAAATCTTATTTTGTGTTCAACAGAAGATTGAAACCAGTTGAGGTTAAGTACATTTTCATTTTATGAACATCCCTTGTGGATTTTTTATAGAAAATACATTTGTCATTTTATTTTTTTATCTATACATGTATGCAGAAACTCAAAATGCACAGAAATGTGAAACAAAATAAAACAAAGTTGCAGGCTGCAATGTTTCATACAGCATGTGCATATGTTTGTGTCCTTGCATATTTTTATGCAGAATTGGGAGCAAAATGAGAAGAAAAATAACTTTATTTTTGAGGATGATAGAGTACATAAAACGTATTCATGTGAAGACACAAATGGGCCTTGGAGGCGGCTGTCTTCATTTATCAGAAGCCATGAAGCAACATTAGCAGGAAGAGTCAAAGCCTCCATTATTTATGGACTGGCTCCCTCCCCTGTACACACACGGTACCTGGTCTTCAGGCAGCCGAAAGCTTCAACAACACGGTCAGTTTTTTGACAAAATGAGTACGTGTGGCAATATAGACACCTCCTTTTTAAAACACTATTTCCTGAAGCAACATCTCACCACGTGAATTCATAAACGACGCGCATTTAACGTTACCTCAGAATATATTTAGCTAAACCGAACTGTCAAGTTTGGCGTGAAGTACTGGCCAAAAAAAAAGCTATCCTGCTTCGATGTTGAGAGGTGATAAAAACATTTTGGAATAACACATATGAAACCGAAAATCATTTGATGCAAACTCACCCTCGCGTCGTATCAAACTCGCATGACTTCCATAAAACAGTGAAGATTTGTTTTAAATCTGAATGACAGGTTCGGACACCATTCGCTTTCACTGTATCCTAAAAAGACGCAATGAAAGTGAATGGTGACTGTCATTCTGACTGTTTTATTTCGCGTTTCACAAGGAGAAAGTAAGTGATGCGGACTGCTACAGCATGAGGGGGAGTAAATAATGGATTTTCTTTTCATTCATGGGTGAACTATACATCTTTTATGTTTCAAAAAGCGCTATTCTCGAACTCAAATCAAAATCCCTAAAGCAGCAACCATCTACGCGTCGAAATATGTGATTTATTTAATACAAGCGCAGTCGCGTCTACCATGAATGGCAAGTTTGCTTGATCATCACGCCGGCATCATTACGCCATGAGATCCGCACAAGTTGCCCACTGACAGCAGCCCCTGCTCTCGACCGTCCAGTGTGAATCCAAAATGATATCCGATGAAATGCCATTCCGTCACTCAGTACGATATTTAAAAATCCCAAAATAACCAGTGCACGCGCGCACATGCGTTTCCATACAAAACCGCGACGTCAAAGCTGTCTGAGTCAGAGGTTCCGTCAAGACCTCATTATCAGTCAATTAATACGAGCTCGACTAATTTGTCGGATTAATTATAATTAAGAGGGGTAAAATGAGAATCACCTTAATCAAAACAGAACCGTCCTCATACAAGTTGACGGGTGTACACTTTAAATGCATCTGACTCGTGCCAATGGGTATTAAAACGCTTATTTAAGTCTCAGCACGTCACATCCTAGTTTATTTCAATCTGATGGTCACGATTTATAGAGACTATCAGCTTAACTAGATGCTGGAGCTCGTTTTCTGTATAATTTCACATTTGGAGCAGTTTGTGGAGTCCTGCAATCCAGTCAAACGCACAAGTTCACTGTGCTAGTGTGCTATTTCTGCTCTCTTTTCATGTCAGAATATTTATATTTCAGTTTATATAATGAACAAAACACGACAGTCTCGTTTACAAACAAACAACGCGAGATAGATAAAATGATAATTACCATGAAGCTCTATTTCCAATACTCTTTGCCATTTCCAACATTTCCAGAGTGCTTCTTCCACTAATGACGGTGGCAGCAGGAGGGAGAAAATACAATCCAAACGAAGAAAAAGCTCAAGCAGGAAACATTTGTGACAGCGACATGATTCGGTCCAACTATTTCGCAGAGTAAAACAGCATATGATTTCCCTAATGCAGTTTTAAGACTGATGTTAATCCACAATCCGTCGTCTCATCAGAAAAAAAAATACAAACACACATCCCGGTGCAGTTCCTTAGGTGTCGCAATGAAGGTAAAAGACCATAGAGGGATTTTTTTTAACCCTCGTTCCTCACGATTGTGGGTTCGCGGGTTGATAAAATGCCGATATCTCCACTTGCCCTCAGTACGGAGAGGAACTGAATGTGAGCGCCTCAAAAGTGGAGCAAAGACGCCCCTCGCGGCTGCTGAAGCAACTGCAACGCACTTGCTGGAGATATTTTTTAAAGGGACATTGGAAAGCTTTCCCAAGTGCATCTGTTTAAAACTCATAACGGCGTTTGGGTCTTACAGGTTGTGATTGTTATCTAATCGAACATTACTGTGAAGAATGCTGACATTGAGATGCTCAGGTGGAATATCTATTTGGAGATGATACTGTCTGATAACTCTGGCAGAGGTGAGTGTGTGTTGAAATGTCTGTAACTGTTTACTGCACTGTGTGACTAAAATGTTGATAACAGTTTCAATTAAAGGGCATTTGAAATGTACTACTTATTCCTATCTAGTCTGAAGTGTAACCAATTCTAGACAATCATAATTTTGTTTGTTTATATTTATTTATTTTTATATAGCCTATTTTTTTACTAGTTCAGTTGTTCTGGGCCATAAAAGAAAGCAAACATTTAGTCCTTGGTCATTCTTAGACCAAATCTAATATTTAATTTTTTTCTGGCCTAAGATGCTAGTTAATATTTGTTTTATGCAGCTCTTATAATTGTGAAATGTCTCCTTTTTTCACACACGCACACACACAAAAAATTACAGGATCAAATGCTATCATTGCAGTGGCATCTTCCCTTTTTTTCCCGTTCGGCAACTGATATGTACACTTTACCGAAGGTTCATTCATTTTCCTTCGGCTTAGTCCCATTTATCAGCGGTCGCCACAGTGGAATGAACCACCAAGCATTCCAGCATATGTTTTATGCAGCAGATGCCTTTCCAGTCACAACCCAGTCTCTCTCTCACTCACACACAAACACACACACACACACACACACACACACACACACTCACACACACAATGCCCCATTTAGTTAATCCGATTAACCTATATCGCATGTTTTTGGACTGTGGAGCACCCAGAGGAAACCCATGTCACATGGGGAAAACATGCAAACTCCACACAGAAAACGGCCCAGTATGGGACTCAAACCAGCAACCTTCTTGCTGTAAGGTGGCAGTGCTAACCACGGAGCAATTACTAATTACATTATTCCTAATTTGTAATTTTAAGGGTCCCAATATGGACTATAGCATAAATTCATACCTTTTAAAATTGATCCGCAGCCTTTGTATCTTTATTTCTGGGTGTGCATTAACCAGATGTGCTGGAAGGAGCCACTTTCCTGATGCCTGCATTCAACTATCAACTCTTACAAAGGACAAAGAGTTACACTATGATTGAATGCTTTGTCTGGTTGCATTTTTCGGCATCATATCCTGTTTTAGCTATCATGGGTCCATTTATACTTCAGTCTATGCTTCAGTTTATTTTGAAGCTGACCGATAATTACGTTTTCAGCAGGTTTGATATACTTGTTTGGTGCACACCAGAGTACAGATGGCAGCATTCAGACTTATTCCACACTAAAAGACTCACTGCACCACAGTTCATTTGAATTGAGCCAAATCTGCCAAGTGTGAACACTCCCTCAACGAATCAACAGAATCGGATTCAGATGACTCTAGTTTACCAAATGAAGTTATTATACATGCACGAAATATTATAAAAGTACTTAAAGTCAGCGTTGACTGGAAACTGCTGCAGACATTTATTTCAGTTCAGTGATGTATTTCCATCTGAACTGTAATACAGAATAAGGGGCGGGGTTTTACTTTTTCAGTCTTCCACTTATGTTTCACATGAAGCAAACTAATGGTTGAAGAGGTGTGGCTAAGCTTATTCCACACACGCAGTCAAACTAACATCATCAATGGCTGGATTTTGATTAAAATAGTATCACAACAGGTTTTTTTTTTTTTTTTTAAGTCAGTGGATAAATTTGCACATTTTAATTGTAATTAATCCTAATTCACCTTATGGCTAAAGGTTATTGAACACGGAATCCCAAATTATTGTCTGTAATTTTTGCACATTAAAGAATAAATTCAACCTCATCGTATTGACACTGCCTCGAAACTTTGATATCATTGATGACTCGTTTCAGACTTGCTCCTGCTGGTCAGTCAAATGAAGAGACAGAAGCAGAGGAAAGAAGAAAAGAAAGCATTGCAAAAGAACAGCTACAGAAAGTGTGGGATCTACTTAATGACTCAACTAAAAGCTTTGAATCAACCACACAGCTGCTTCGGTGGATAAATTTGCACATTTTAATTGTAATTAATCCTAACTCACCTTATGGCTAAAGGTTATTGCACTTGGAATCCCAAATTTTTGTCTGTAATTTTTGCACATTACAAAATAAATTGAACCTCATTGTATTGACACACTGCCTACAGAACTTTCGTCTGTCATAAAAATAAATTAAAACTGGGTTTGTTTTTGTTTTTTGCGGATTTGTTTTTTTTCTCAATCGCTTTGAAAGGCATTTTGACAGTTCAGACCCACCGTAGAAGCAAAAAGCTAGTACAGAATGTCGTCATTTGAGTTACAGGTAGTTTTATTACAAACAGTGCATAAAATAAAGACAGAATGTGGTGGACAGGGCGATGCAGTAGGTAGTGCTGTCGCCTCAAAGCAAGAAGGTCACTGGTTCGAGCCTCAACTGGGTCATTTGGCATTTCTGTGTGAAGTTTGCATGTTCTCCCTGTATTCGCATGGGTTCCTTTGGGTGCTCCGGTTTCCCCCACAGTCCAAAGACATGCGGTACAGGTGAATATGGTAAGCTAAATTGGGTAAGCTAAATTGTCCATAATGTATGAGTGTGAATGAGTGTGTATGGATGTTTCCAAGAGATGTGTTGCGTCTGGAAGGGCATCCGCTGCGTTAAAACATGCTGGATGGGTTGGCGGTTCATTCCGCTGTGGCGACCCTAGGTTAATAAAGGGACTAAGCCAAAAAGAAAATGAATGAATGAATGTGATGAACAGTTGAGAACCCCTATATCATAGGATTCAAACTCAATTCGAGATTTACTCCAGCTCTAATCATACACACACAATCCAACTACTCAAGATGTTCAAGACTACTTTGGAACACCTCGATTAGTTGAATTAGCTGTCTTAGAATAAGGTCGGAGCAAAACTGTAGAGCTGCGGCCCCCCAGGAAGTGAGTTTGAGACCTATGCCCTATATGATGTATTCAATGACTGGCACACCTCTCCTCTTCAGCTGTTTGGTGAGTGCTTGTCCAAACATTTGACGTACTGCTCAGAGACATTATAATAGAAAGCACGTCAATGTGGCCACCATCTATTATATTGTCTGTAGGTAATGCCAGTCTCTGTTCAGGATTTATTTATGTATGTTAATGTATGAAGAATCACAAGCAATGTATCAAAATTCCACTAATGTCCTGAAATAAACTTTGCATTTCGGGATAATCGTACCACAGCTCTTTGATGAGGAGAACTCTCCTTCCTCTCTGTGTAGGCTAGTAGACTGTTAAATGAACACAATATGTAGCCTATTCCACTTTCTTTTTCTACTTTGAGAGGAGAACAAAGTATCACTGCTTGAACTGACTTCAAAATGTTTAGCCTTTTTTCATGATGGGTTAATTAATACGCATTAAATTCAGTGTGCAAGGTTTGTTTACGTGACAAATTTTTCGCATATGAATATGAAAATAAAAACACATCCAAACATTTTAGACTTAATCGTGCAAAGATCTAATGCACTAGCAAAATAAGCATTGTATATACAGTTGAAGTCAGAATTTAAAGCCCCCCTGAATTACAAGCCCCTTGTTTATTTTTTCTCTTATTTTTGTTTAACAGAGAAGATTTTTCACATTTCTAAACATAATAGATTTAATAACTCATTTCTAATAACTGATTAATTTTATCTTTGCCATGATGACAGTAAATAATATTTGACTAGATATTTTTCAAAACACTTCTATGCAGCTTAAAGTGACGTTTAAAGACTTAACTAGGTTAATTAGGTTAACTAGGCAGGTTAGAATAGTTAGGCAAGTTATTGTATAACCATGGTTTGTTCTGTAGACTATCGAAAAAAATATATAATATATGGCTTGAAAATAATATAATATATAGCTTAAAGGGGCTAATAATTTTGACCTTAAAATAAAACAAAATTAAAAACTGCTTTTATTCTAGCAAAAATAAAAAAACAAGACTTTCTCCAGAAGAAAAAGTAATATCAGACATACTGTAAAAATTTCCTTGCTCTGTTAAACATAATTTGGGAAACATTTAAAAAAGAAAAAAATTCAAAGGGGGGATCAAAATTCTGACTTCTAACTGTAACTGAAAATCTAACTGTATATAGATTTTATTCAGACTTGAACATTTTCACACAGTGGTCACGTGACTTTAATTTCACCCCTGTAGCTCAATTCTAATTGGTTAAACTGATAGTTGTACAACTTACCATTAGAACACTCTGTGGTCTCCCCTACTCAGAGAAATGGGGTTTTGCTAATAGGTCTGTTGGGAGTGGGTCAGTGTTTCAGCCGACAGGTCTATGTCTATATCCTATGAGACAACTGACCTTTCTCCTCTGCAGTCTGATGAAACCCTTAACAGGCACTTTTACTTTAAAGTCCCCACAAGAGCCTATGCGCACAAACTCCCATAGGGCACGCAATTCAGAAAAATGTATCAAATTTAAATCATTTTATTATAAAAAATAAATTACTATATCATCATTTAATTTTCAGTAGTCTGATTTTCTTGTATTTATCATCTTTGCTTGACATAGCTTTCAACTTTAGTGATTTTTTTACCGCCTTTCGTATTGCAAGGGTAAACCCAACAAGTACGTTTCTAAAGCCATGAAAACTTAAAGCCCACACTCGCATCCAATGAAAAATGTTCAAAGTTTAACATTGAATATTCTCTTTCATAGCTTGTGCTGCAAAACTTTGTTTAATCACTCTAGACCACTTTGTGATGCAATCCAGCTACTAGATGCTACAGAAGATGCCGGATTAAAGGGGCCATAAATTGAGAAATAAAATTTCCCTTAAGTTTTTGACTTATACAAGGTCAACCATCAAAGTAATGTACTTTTATTTTTGTTTGTTTATGTTGTTTTGTTTGTCTTTTGTTCGTTGTTTTTATGCATCTACCGGTTTACTTGAGTCTTCAACGCCTGTCGGAATGAGAAGAGAGAGAAAAAAGCCTGCTATTCATATTGCATCTATGGCCAGTAGATAACCTTAATTTTTTATCCGAATCGTGGGAGTGTGTCGTCACAGCTGGGCAGGTTCTACATGTCACAGCATGTTCTGAATCACTCGATGAGAGGCAATTTACTGTACTAATGTCCTCAGTATCCCTTGGAGAGTGTTAAATATAAAATTGATGCCGCCGTCATGAACAATTCGGTCCACCAGCTCAATCCAGTCTCAAGTCTTAGGACTCCAAAGCACTCATTTGTCAGTAAGCATTTGTAGTAGGTAGACTGCTAAGATAAGAAATCTGACAAATGGGTT